CAATATTTCAATTAACAACACAATAATACATTTCATCACAAGTCAACATTGCATATGAACACAACTCAATCAGTACATCATATGTACAACACAGTAACTACATGTTTTGTTACACATTTCAACTAGGAGATCTCTTACAATATGAATGAGCATTCTAAGTAGCTTGACCCTATCGAACTAAAAACCTGATCTTTTCAATCTAACTAGATCAACAACCAAATGGGATAATGATCCCTAACAACACAGTTTTTCAGATGTCATCACTTTAACTAGGAAGTCTACTATTACTGTTAAGGTAGAACAACTAAGGTGTGAGCCCATCACAACATTAGCTAGCATAACTAAGCCATTTATAGGATTATTCCACTAATAACTTCTAAATATTACACCCTTCCAATGCCACTACAAGAAAAATGCTAATTTCTAACGGAAAAGGGTAAATATTTGACAGATTTTCTTCTTTTTTTTTTCGACAGATTTCTAATGGATTTAAATCCGTCGAATAAAGTGGCATCGGAAAAAAAATCCGTTGAAAATAATTTAATCCGTCGGAAATTTCTAATGAAAAATTCCGTTGGAAAATTCTGTAAAAAATTTATGTCAGAAATTATAATTTTTTTTTAATTTTAATAAATTTATTAATGTAACAACCCTCACATTTGGCCTCTCAAGAGTTCTATTTGACGACATTTCAATTTTTAGCGTGTTTTATTCTTACTTGCGCAATTTCTGAGAAACTTCCCAGAAGGTCACACATCCCTATACTACTCCAGGTGAAGCAAGCTTAACTGTAAAGTTCGGTATGTGTTTCAGGTACTGTTTGAGTCTGTAAGGACTGTGAGTTTCCCCGTGGGTAGGACCTGACCTCTACCGTTTGGCTATACAGTTCGTCATACTATGATTCCCGAGTCGCGCCTTTTGGTATGACAAAAGGAGGGGACAAGCATTTAATTTGTAGCCGTTTTTTGTAGGGACATGAGTGATTGTGCCGCCACGTGGCAGCGAAACTTAATTGCGTTTAATTATGGGACCCCTTTAACCAGCAGTCACACCGTTCCACGTGTGAAGGGGTGTTATGTTTTTCCGTTTCGCTCGAAACGCCGCGGTTTGTTCGAAACGCCGCATTTTGTTCGCGGCTTCTCACATACGCCTCTCTGGCCCTATAAATGGAAATGCCTTGCGGGCCTTTTTCCATTTTCTGCTGCTGTTTCCCCTCCCCCTTTTTGCACTTTGTTCTCCCCCGTGGTTCCTCGAGGCTCATTGGGACTTTCCGGTGATACACGGCGGTCTACGACGGTGCTTTGGATTTTAATTGAGTGGGAGGTTGTTGTGTGTCCTAGGTACGCCCATCTAAACCATTTTTTGGCCATTTTTGTTTGTAGCAAAGCCATAGTTGTTATTTAAGTTGGGTTTACTGTTTATCATGGTGGTAGTAAACTACGGGGAAATGTACCAATGGGTGAAAGATGATGTTTTGCGTTGCGAGTCTTTAATAAACTCTTGGGATGCCATGGAGAGTTTTTGTACAGAGCATGTGGTGTGTAGTGAGGGTGACCATATAATTATATGTGAACCTTGCGTAGATAAAGAACTCGTATGTATTGATGGTGGTTCTACCGAGAAGTTTACCTTTTGCTATTGTACTTTAATTTCCAAGTTGAGGGTGAGGTGGCCTCTAACTGTGTGTGAGAAAGGAGTGCTTCAAGCCTTGGACGTGGCCCCCACCCAATTCCATCCTAATAGCTGGGCTTTTGTCCGAGGGTTCGAGGTCCTGTGTCTAGGTTTAGGTATAACCCCGACCGTAAATAAATTTTTCTACTTCTTCGAGAGTCGCAGTAATAAACGTAGTAGCTGGGTGTCTGTACATGGGGTATCAAATCGGGGGTTGTTAACTTTGTTTCAATCATCCTATAAGGACTTTAAAAGGTCATATTTCCGAATACGGTGCACTTCGGGTAATGAAAATGTACTAGAAGGGTTTCCCTTGTATTGGAAATAAAAGACGATATCCTTTGGGGGGCTATCTGCCGAGAAGCTCTCCGAGGCCGACCAGGAAGATGTTAAAAAACTTGAGGCTCTCGAAACTATTTTCAACACTGCAAAACTTCTAGATTTAGAAAATAGGCCCAAGGAACTGAGAATTTATATAGGTACTCGGTTATTGACCGATCACCCCTTTTTTGTTTTTGTATTTTCTCCAATTTTACTGTCTGACTAATATTATGTTGTTTGAATTCTCATATAGGATGGCTAGCATGAGCAATCGGGATTGAGGAAGTTATGGAAGCAACAAGAGGCTTCCAAAGCTGTTGTAGATGACGTGGTCGGTGAAAAGGCGAGGGACGTTGAAGGTTCCGTCCCAAAGGGTGTGGTCGGCGAAAATTCCCTGAAGCGTCGCCGAGAAACCGAGGAGCCTATTACCCTCGTGAACTTGGAGACCGAGGTCGGGGGGGATGAGGTCGAGAAGGACCTAGAGGTTCAATTGGTCGAGCGAACCATAAGCATGTGCATGGGTGAGAATTGGGAGCCCGTGGACCATGGAAATGAGCAGGGGAGGGTCCCCTCTTTCTGGGATGAAAAGTTCAACCATTCCTCCCACATCCGCCATACGGATTTGCTCGAGGGAGACAAGGACGACCTGGAGAAGATGAGTGCCTTCTCTATTTCCAAGGGCGTGGAATCTCTAACGAATCGCCTCTCGGCTTTGTCCCTTATTAACGAGGACAAGATTCGTGGGATGGCCAGGGAGATCAAGTTGCAAGGGAAGAAGATCAGTTCCCTTGAGGAGAGTGTCGCCAAAGGCAAGGCTGACTTTAAGTGGATTGCCAACGAGAGGGATAAGTTGTTGGAAGGCCGACGAGCCTTCGAAGACGATCGGAAAGCTTGGGAGGCCGAGAAGTCAGTTATGGAGAAGGATCTCGAAGAGGCTCGTCTGGCCCGAGACAAGAATGCTGATGCCGCTCAAGTTTTTGAGAGTGATGTGGCAACAATGAAGGTGGAGATTGAGACGTTGCAATCCGATCTTCATGCTGTCAAGCTGGATTCGCTGAAAAAATTCATGCAAGGTTTTGATGTCGCCACTGCTCAAGTGAAGTTTCTGCATTCCGATCTCAACCTCGAGGGCATTGGATATTTCAAAGAGGTGATAGATGGGCAGCTCGTAGACCCCCCCGAGGATGACTGAGTTTACTTTGCAATCTCCTTGCTTTTTTGTATAAGTTTTTGCATATGTTTTGTGTTCTAGCGTTAATTTTGCTAGGTTGAAAGTGTGTAACTGATTGACTTTGGCATCTTCTAAAATTTTGGTGTTTCTTTCCCTAAATTTTGCTTATGTCGCTTTGTTTATTTTTGAGCTTTTAAATTGATCGAAAGAACAGGGGCAAATTTTCTAAACTACTCGGTTAAAATCCGACTTCAAAACAACGATAAATTTAATAAGTTGAATAAGCATTCTCCAAGTTACTCGGCTAAAATCCGAGTTCAAATTGAACGAGAAAATTTCCAAGTTAAATGAACATTACCCAAACCAAAACGCTAAAGTCCGAGCTAAAAGGTTAAATAAAATTTTCCAAATTAACTGAGGATTTTCGACGCTTACTCGGCTAAAATCTGACTTCAAAACAAGGAGAAAATTTTCTAGGTTGAATAAGCATTCTCCAAGCTACTCGGCTAAAATCCGAAGTTAAAAATTGAATAAATTTTCCAAGTTAACTGAGGATTTTCCACGCTTACTCGGCTAAAATCCGACTTCAAAACAACGACAAATTTTCTAAGTTGAATAAGCATTTTCCAAGCTACTCGGCTAAAATCTGAGTTAAAAATTGAATAAATTTTCCAAGTTAATTGAGGATTTTCCACGCTTACTCGGCTAAAATCCGACTTCAAAACAACGACAAATTTTCTAAGTTGAATAAGCATTTTCCAAGCTACTCGGCTAAAATCCGATTTCAAAACAATGAGAAAATTTCTAAGTTAAAATTGAAACTTACTAGGATAGTCGGCCAAATGCCGATCCGTATGACAAAGTTAAAAATCTCTAAGTTAAAGTTGAATTTTTGCGAATCCAATCGGTAAAAATCCGAGACGTTTGACGAAGCTAAAAATCTCTAAATTAAAATTGAAACTTACTATGATAGTCAGCCAAATGCCGATCCGTATGACAGTTAAAAATCTCTAAGTTAAAGTTGAATTTTTGGGAATCCAGTCGTCCAAATTCCGATGAATATGACATGTTGGAAAATTTTCTAAGTAAAATTGATACTTCGTGGGTCCAGTCGGTAAAATTCTGAATCAGATGATAATCTAAGCTAAATTCCGAAGCATATCACAATCCATAAAATTGTCTGAGTGAAATTATTGTGCGAATGAAGTCGGGAAAATTCTGACTCACATGATAATTTAAGCAAAATTCCGATGGTGAGGCATCAGTCTAGGCAGTCGTCGAAATTCTGAATCGAATGATGGGTGAGAATTTTGTTCAAGTTGAAAATTGAAATTCACAAATAGATGAATTGTCATTACCCCGACTTGGTTGTATCGAATCGCCCACGAGTTTGTGTCTTCGAGTTATTTATACTCGCCCAGTCGGACTTTTGCCGACAATCACGAGTTTGTCTTCGAGTTATTTATACTCGCCTAGTCGGACTTTTGTCGACAATCACGAGTTTGTCTTCGAGTTATTTATACTCGCCCAGTCGGACTTTTGCCGACAATCACAAGTTTATGTCTTCGAGTTATTTATACTCGCCCAGTCGGACTTTTGCCGACAATCACGAGTTTGTCTTCGAGTTATTTGTACTCGCCCAGTCGAACTTTTGCCGACAATCCCGAGTTTGTCTTCGAGTTATTTATACTCGCCTAGTCATACTTTTTGCCGACAATCACGAGTTTGTCTTCGAGTTATTTATACTCGCCCAGTCGGACTTTTGCCGACAATCACGAGTTTATGTCTTCGAGTTATTTATACTCGCCCAGTCGGACTTTTGCCGAAAATCACGAGTTTATGTCTTCAAGTTATTTATACTCGCCCAGTCAGACTTTTGCAGACAATCACGAGCTTGTCCCCTCCTTTTGTTGTCCTGTGTACGCCTGTGTCGCCTATCTGACGAGCCTTCTTCCTGTTTTCTTGCCACGAACTTTTTCAGGCGTCCCTCCTTGATCAAGCGTTCAATTAGTCTTCCAAGGACGAAGCGATTTTCCGTAGAGTGCCCCTGAGTCCTGTGAAACTCACACCAATCAGTCTTGAAGGGACCCAATTGGCGCTCCGTCGCCGCTGGGAATTCGAACAATGTTGCGGTGTTGACATCATGGAGTATCTGCCTCCTAGGGACGTTGAGTGGGGTGAGATTCTCCTCGTCATTGGTGCGTGTCCATTTTCCCCTAGGACGACCTCCACGATCAGCTTGTCGGTAATTGCCCTCATTCACGTTATACCGATCACGTCGCTTATTCCAGTCTGAACGCGGTCGAAGATGTTTACTGCTCTCCTTGTTGCTTCCCCCTACCTCCTCTCGGCTCTCTGCAGCAGCCTTTTTGTTAATTTGTCTTTCCTCCGTCTTGATGTGACTCAGGGCGAAAGCCCTCACCTCTGACATCGTTTGACAATTCGCTCTCTCCAGCGCGATGTCGAAGGCCCTGGACCTTAAGCCCTTCTGGAACGCGATGACAGCCATCCTCTCATCCAAAGATGCTATCCTCAGGGCAACCTCATTGAACCTTTGCAAAAAATCTTTCAGCGACTCCTCCCATTGTTGCTTGAGATCGAACAAGTTTGACGTGATCGGCGACTTCTTCTTATTAGCGGCAAATTGGGCCATGAAGAGCCGACTGAAAACATCGAAGTTGGTGATGGATCGGTCGGGGAGACCACTGAACCAATCAAGCGCCGCCTTTTTGAGTGTCCCCATAAACAGTTTGCAGCGGACTTCCATGCTCCCTCCACAGATCAACATTTGAGCTCGGAAGTCCGTCAGATGCTGACTAGGATCCTGGGTTCCATCGAAAGGTTCCACTTGGGGTATCCGATGGTCCCTGGGGATGATCTCGGCTTCTATGGCTTCCGAGAAGGGTCGAAAATCCCTAGGGACTTCCATCATGACGTCTTTTTCCACCGTCCTGGTACTGGCCGCTATTCTGGCCTGCATCTCATATGCTCGCCTCCTGATCTCCTCGTTTTCGCGTTGAATGGCCTCCTCTCTCTCCCTGGAACGCGCATTCTCCTCTCGCAGGCCGTTGATCATGGCCATCATCTCCTCCATGGTAGGGGGTTGTGAGTTGTTGTTGTTGTTGTTGTTGCCGCCTCTCGCCATGGTAGAGCGTTGGTTCTTCTGTGCGTTACTTGGGGCGCAGGAAAAGTTTCACCGTAGCCCCACGGTGGGTGCCAAAATGTTCCGGCCAAGGGGTGCACTAGGGTTTTTTTCTAGGTCAAGCCTCAAAGCCAGAGCATTCAAAAGTGTAATCTGCCTCCTCAACTCTAGGGTTTTGGGTTTTATGGTAACTCGTTCATGGGCCTCTTGGGCCCTGAGAATGAAGGGATTTCCTTAACCATCGTTATCTCGAGGGTGCAGGATGAGTGAGAACAAGTCGAATCGGGTTCTGACCGACTGGGTTATCTCGAGGGTGCAAGGTGAGTGAGGACAAACCGAGTCGGGTTCTGACCGACTGGGTTATCTCGAGGGTGCAGGGTGAGTGAGGACAAGCTGAGTCGGGTTCTGACCGACTGGGTTACCTCGAGGGTGCAGGGTGAGTAAGGACAAGTCGAGTCGGCATTTGGCCGATTAGACCCGCACTGAGCATTCAGTCGGGTGAATGTCGAGAACCTTCCTTTTATAGGCGAGTGAAAATCAAGTTACGACCCAGCAGAGGGTCAGGGTCGCTCTACTGCCGTTAGGGAGATCAGGTCGGATTACGACCTGGACGGTACACTTGCCTTCCAGCCCTGAGCCTATAAGGCGAGAGGGCTTTGGGCCGGGCGACCTAGTCAGGTATTGGCCAAGTAGAGGGTCATGGTCTCCGTATTGCTGATAAGGAGATCAGGTCGGATTACGACCTGGACGATACAGAACTAATTGAAAGGATAAAACAAATTTGTTGTCAACTTCAAAAATTCATATAAAAATAAAATCTTATTTTTTTGTGCTAAAATTTCATGTCAAACATCCTCAAATATTCACCTTAAATTTAGGCAGGGATCAGTTGATTGTTTAGACAAATTTCAAAACACGTGAACGGTGATCCATGAACTGTTTCTATCATCCGACCTCAATGCATACTCAGGAGCGTGGAAACGTTAAAAATAAAATACATTTAATTACGTAAGTAAAAGCCTAGTAATGTTTTCTAAATTGCATTAATTTTTGAAATAAATTGTTCTGAAAAAGACAAATCCATTTACTTAGGTTAATTATGAAGGAAAATTAAGCTGCATATTCATGAGGGATTTGAATCTTGACTTTCGATATATAATATGCGTCTTGACTTTGATTTTTCAGCAGAGTGACAGCCTTGCTTGTGATAAAATAATTCCTCACCCTACTCTCTATAAATTGCATACACACCATCTCAGTTCTGTAGTAACTTAACTAATGAACTACCTCCCCACAGTTTTCATTTTTCCAGCTAGTGCAGTAACCAACCACGGAAATGTTTCCCCTGTTGCCATGTATACTTTCTCCTTTTCCTTGTTTCTCTTCTCACTTTCAAGCTATTCTTCCGAAGCAGAAAATTCACAAGTCTGTTACGTTAATTATGAATTTTAAAATAAAAGTCAACTATATTTTCATGCAATATAACATTTTATTTATGATATAACTTTCATCCAGAAAATTTGTTAAGTAGGGACAATAAAATATTTTATCATATTTTTTTTTATTAAAAATATAATATTTTTTTAAAAAAATATATTTTTGTGACAAAAAAATTTAATATATCTATTTTTTTATAAATTAATTTTTTTCATAAATAGAGTAAAAATTTCTCCTTTTTCTTTTTTTGTCTAATATTATATTTAAATGTGACTTTGTAATTTTTAGTGATTTATTTAATATTAGAGGAACAAAATGATATAATTTATTAAGATAAACATGATATAATTACTATTTATTTTCTTTTGTATCTCTCATAAATTTTCACGCTTATTTAAATCAAAAATATTTTATGAGAATAATACCTATTTTTTTATAAGAGTAAATTTATTTTTTTATTAAATATGTTTAAATAAAAAATAAAAATTTTATGTGGCAATTACTCTTATTTCTCTTAATTTGGATCTTCTCCTACCAACACACAATGTACATATACAAGATAAAAAGTTAAAAACTAAAATAAAATTTGGAAAACAACCTATATTTATAAACTAAATTATGAAATTTTTAATAAATAAAGTAATAAATCTTTCGGTCAAAAAATAAAGTATATTATAATAATAAAAAATTAAGACAATTTTGTCGTAAAGTGAAATAAATTACAGCATAGAATAAAATATAAATAAAATATTAATATATTTTAACATATTAGATATAAAAAGCAATCATTACAAGATATGTTATATATAATCACATATAAAAAGTGTCGCTGTAATTTATATTTATATTTTTTAACAATATATCAACATATTATATCTATAGTATATGTAAAAATAGTTTTTAATGACAAATATCATGTCTTTATAAGATGTATGTCATTACTTAACAATTTTTTTGTAATAAATTAAAATATAATTAATATATATTATAAAAATAAAATAATAGTATGTATAAAAATGAGAAAGAGTAAAATTTTAGTAGGGGCAAGTGCCCACTATCACATAGTCACGGATCTGTCCTTGCTTTCAAGTGATTCGGCATTTGTATTTCTTATAACTAATTAAGGATTGAGATTTGATCCGTCCTTAAACATAAAATTACGACTAGAAATGTCACTTTCTATAGAGTTCAATCCGGTGGGAAGAAGTTATTATAAAAAATTACGGTGATATACAAAAAGTGTCACTATAATCTATAGATATAATATATGTAAGTATAAATTTATTTGACATATAATTATACATAATTTTAATGTTAATTTTTTATGAGATTGAACAACATATATTGTGTATTTTCATAACTTATACTTACAATTTTTAATAATATAACAATATATATTATATTTATAGTGTAGGTAAAATAAGATTTTAGTGACAAATATTGTGTCATATGTGTATCGTCATATGATAATTTTTTATTTTGATAATAAGTTATACCTCCTTATCAAACCAAATATATATATATATATATATATATATATATTTTACAACATTGATACATTATTTTAATGAAATATTTATGTTTAAATTATCTTATAATATATATGTTTGAATTAACTATGAATTTAAATATTTTTATTAAATATTAAAAGTATTGAAAAGTGTGTATGAAGGATCAATTTGTATTGCTATAAAAGAATATTACTTTTGCATCATTTTTCTATATCTAATTTACAAAATTTTCGATTAGAATAAAAATATTTATCATGTAAATTATATATAAAAAATTTATTGTAATAAAAATATTTAATACATCAAAATCACTATTTGATTATACTTTTATTAATTGTTGTTATTCAATTTTTATAAGATTTATAACAAATATCTCTGGAACAAATATTTTTAATGGGATTAAATGGAAAAAGTTATGTTCCATAAAAAGGATATTATAATAAGTCATATTTCTATTATAATAATTATAGTTTGTTAGTTTATTTGTTTTGTCATCTCTTCTTTTATATATATATATATATACTCTTCTGTATGTTGTGTTCTTCAATGATAAAAGATTAATATTTCAGATTCTATTCTTTTTTTTCTTTGGTAGTTTTAATTCTTACATGGTATCATAAGCTCCTGATTTTTCTTCTAGAAAATTTTATGGCTTCCGCAAATCCCAAACAATTCATTCCTCAAGCTTTCTCAACTCCTATCTCATCCAAACTCAATGAGGATAACTTTCTTATATGGAGGCAGCAAGCTGACTCTACCATTAGAGGATATTGTCTAAAGAAGCATATTATTGGAGCTATTCATGTTCCACCTCAATATGAATCTGCAGAAGCAAAAGCAAAAGGAGTTCTCAATTCAAAATATGAAGATTTTGATCAACAAGATACTCTGCTTAAATCTTGGTTATTAGAAAGTATGGAGCCACAGTTCAAGGTGAGAATGGTTGGATATGAGTGGTGTCATCAAATCTGGAGTAATCTTGAAACATATTTCGGCTCTCAAATCAAGACTCATGTGAAACAACTTAAGATTCAATTAAGAGCAACAAATAAATCCACAACAATAAATTAATATCTTCTTGAGATCAAGAAGAATGTGGACATTCTTGTAGTAATTGGGTCTCCTTTTCATCACTTCTTTTCTTACAAGAACTGACGAATATTCTATTGAACAAATTGAAGCTTTGTTAATGGCTCAAGAAGAAAGATTAGAAAAACACAAAAAAAGTGATACTGCACCTTTTCAAGCCAATCTAGCTCAAGGTAATTTCCAAATAAGAAAACAACCTAACAACCAAAGAGGAGGCTTCAGTAACAATGGCACTAATGGAAGAGGTTATCAAAGAGGCAAAGGTCGTGGTAGATCCAATCAGAATTCTAGTAGAGGCAACAAAAAACAATGTCAATTTTGTGGCAAGTGTGGCTATATAGTCTTTCACTGTTGGCATAGGTATGATCAACAATAAGTTGAACCCAATTTCAATAATAATTCTAACTCACCCAGCTCAAGAAACCAACAACAGATGCAAGCTATGTTTGCTAGTTCTCAAATCTTGGCGTTTGATAATCAGTGGTGTTTAGATTCAGGAGCGACTAATCGTCTCACACTAGACTTGAATAATCTTGGTTCAAGAACTGCTATTACATGCCAATATAAGATTCATATGGGAAATGGCCAAGCAATAGGGATCAATCATACATGTACTTCATTCTTTCATACTCCCATGTCTTCTAAAGTGTTTACTTTAAAAGATTTTTTGCATGTTCCCCAAATAACCAAAAACCTGCTAAGTGTATCTAAATTTTGTAGAGATAATGAGGTATATGTTGAATTCCACACCAATTATTGTCTTGTTAAATCTCAGGATTTGAAGGAAACTCTTTTGCAAGGGAATCTTAAAAATGGCTTGTATGTCTTTGATGAAGTGAAATTTCTTAAATATGATGCTTATGTGAACCCTGTTGCCTGTGTTCCTATTGCTCCTACTATTCTAAATGTTCAAAG